CTTCTCTCTGCCTGCTCCCCTCCCTCGCATTAAATGACGAAGAGCTGGTCGTCCTCGGTTCCCTGGTTCCCCTCGACCCCGCTACAAACAGCTCTGTTCAAAGCCAAGTAAAACAAAGACCTTGAGAAATTATATCAGTCCCATCCCAGGCAGAACTGGCTTCTGAGCTTGTCTCCCCTCCCCCAGACGTCTGGAGTTGGCCCCTAACCTCTGCATCCTCCCCATCCGCCTGAGGCACCCTGAGAAAGCCATCAGGCTTCCTCTCAGCCTAGCCTTTGCTTCTCCTCTTCTCTGTGTTCAGAGCCCCTGGGTGGCCCTTTCCTGGCAGGGTGATTGAGGGAAGTGATGGCAGAGTGTACAGACCCCTGTGTGGTCCTGGCGCTCGGCCATCCGGATCACCGTGCTGCTCTCGCCGGCTCCCCACAGCAAGGAGAGGGTTTTTGGCTCGGTAGGCAGGTGGGCTTAGCCTTTAGCAGGGGCTCAACCCTCTTGCTCGTGCTGCCACCTCCACGCCCCTGCCCCCATCCCTGTTCTCCCATGCCTGCCTGGAACCCTGAGGCCCACTTTGTGCCTCCAGGATCCCTTCCCTTTTGGCCAGGGCTTTCTGTGAGACCCAGGAAAACTGGTCCCCAGATGGCCCTGGAACCAGGTTTCCAGGGGTGGGGTGCTAGCCTGCCCCCCACCCCTGGTTCTTCCCGCACAGCTACTGGAGTACTTGGGCAAGGGCAAGAGCATCGTGGACGTGGGGCTGGCCCAGGCCCGGCACCCGCTGAGCACCCGTAGCCACTACTTCGAAGTGGAGATCGTGGACCCTGGAGAGAAATGCTACATCGCCTTGGGGCTGGCCCGGAAGGTGGGCGCCAGTGCTGGCGTTTGGCCTGTGGAGCTGCTCAGCTCTGGGGCTGTTGGGCCGGGGCCCGGAGCTCTTGGGGCGATCAAGGGGCTGGGCTGCAGAGGGAGGTCTGACCCGAGACAGAGCAGGCCGTATGTGTCTGCTGTGTGAGGGCACAGACCCCAAGTCACCTCGGAGCTGAGAGAGGGTCGTGAGCGCACCACACGCACCAAGGCCTGGATGTGGGGTTGGGGGGCAGCCCTGGCTGGGAAAGCCAGGCACCTTCCCACCTTCCCCTGCAACCTCCAGTGCCTGAAGGGGTGAGGTTGCTGGGGTGGGAGCAGCCATCTGGGTGGTAGCTTGTTTCAGAAGATCGAGGGTTCGTAAGCCCCTCTCCCGTCCTCTTTTCTGTGCGTGGTACCACAGCTTTCCTTTTTTCGTCCTGGTGTAGGATTATCCCAAGAACAGGCACCCTGGCTGGAGCAGAGGGTCTGTGGCTTATCATGCAGGTGTGTGAGGGGCTGCCCTGGGGAAGCTGGGGTGGGGGTGGGGTATAGGGGCACAGGGACATTCATTTCCCTGACGCCGTACTAGGGGCCTCGCCTTCAGCATCTGGCCCGAGAGACTTTCCCCTGCCACTCTCTGCTCTCCCCATCCCAAGCTGCTAGCGCTTTGTCTTCATCTGTGTTTTTCCTCCCAGCCCAAAAAGCCAGGGGAGCAGAACAGGGGTGGGGGATCTGGGCCCGAACTGGACATTCCAGGCCTCTGAGTTGGCTCCCTCTGCACCCTTCCTGCAGATTCTGCATTTTCTTTTTTTTTTGATCGGCTTGATTTCCTTTAGGGCTTCCTTTAGAAAGGAGGGGCTGTGAGTTCCTGGTCCCGCCTCTCCCTCCCCTCCGAGGGCCCCTGCTCTCTGACCAGCTCCTCTCTGACCAGCTCCCGAGGGAGTTTCTCCCTTAGCCCCTTGAGGGGACAGATGTGTGTCTCTCTTTAGTCTGGTGCGCTCATGCTCTCTCCTCCCCTCCTCAGGGCCAGCCAGCGAGGGAGGAAGGGACACTTCAGCCTTAAGCAGGGGCCGCTCTAGGGGCTGTAGGGTGTCGGCCCCTCCCTCAGGTGTGTGTCCTCTCCCCTCCCTCCGACAGATGACGGGAAGATCTTCCATGGCAGTGGTGTGGGGGACCCCTTTGGGCCACGCTGTTACAAAGGGGACATCATGGGCTGTGGAATCATGTTCCCCCGGGACTACATCTTGGACAGTGAGGGTGAGTGGGGTGACCGTGGCCAACCAGGCTGGTCGGGCAGAGGGTGGGGGCAGTACCACAGGAGCTCAGGTTTCCTGGCCCCCAGGTGACAGTGATGACAGCTGTGACACAGTGATCCTGTCCCCAACCGCCCGAGCTGTCCGGAACGTCCGGAACGTCATGTACCTGCACCAGGAAGGGGAAGAGGAAGAGGACGAAGAGGAAGAGGAAGATGATGGGGAAGAGATAGAACAGGAGCATGAGGGCAAGAAGGTGGTGGTGAGTGGGGTCAGTCTGGGGTTGGACTAGGGGTCTTGGGCCTCCGTGAGGTCTGGTGTTAGTGCAGAAAGCAGAGCCCAGGGAGGGGAGAGGGAAAGCCCTGGCTGCTGTGGGTGTGGGGCTGCTGAGTGGGGAGACTGGCTGGGAGGCCGGTTTCCGGCCTCGGGACGCCCTCTCGTGGTCGCCTCCTGCATCGCCCTCTGTCTCTCGCCAGCGGTGGTGCGAGCTGGGAGTGACGGGGCTCAGGCCTGCGTAGCTCCAGCATCCTCAGAGGAGAGGCTAGAGCCTGCCTATCCCACCTTTCTCTTCCACCCCCAGGTTTTCTTCACTCGGAATGGCAAGATCATTGGGAAGAAGGATGCTGTCGTACCTTCTGGGGGCTTCTTCCCCACAATTGGGATGCTGAGCTGTGGGGAGAAAGTCAAAGTGGATCTGCACCCCTTGAGTGGCTAGGCCTCTCCCCTGGGCCTGCCCCTTCTCCCTCTCCTCGCCCTTTGCAGAGCCAGGTACCCCATTCCTGAAGCCCCGAGGATTTGCTTACCCAGCAGGCCCCAGGGGATGTGGTCCCTCTGCCCTACCAGATCAGGCCCCTGCCAGGCTCCTCTGTGCCCGTGTTTCTGACCTGGTGCTGCCCCTGTTGTTAGTCCCTGGGCGAGAGTTCCTGGCTGGACAGGAACCAGCCCAAAGGATGCTGTTGCTTCACGGGTGGGGCCCACTGGCTTTGGCCGTGGCCTCCCGCGTGCCCCTCCCACCCCGGCCCGTGTGAGGGGAGAGGAGTGAGCGCCCGTCTCAGCTGCTGTTGGGTGTGAGGCTGGGCAAGGGTGGAGCAGGACACCCCGTCCTCTGTTTACCACAGGATTCCTCTCCTCATCTTTCCTGTTTCCTGTCCTCGTCGTGTGAAGCAGTTGCCGCTGTCATCCCCCCCCGGGCTGGGCTGGGGGGGGCTCTCTTGGGCCCTCTGTCTCCTTCCACTGACTGGTGTCCCGAGAAGACTACTCGAGGGTCTCCGTTCTTTCCCCTGCGAGCCAGCTTCCTCCCTCACTGCCTGCTCAGGCACCACAGTCCCCCCGAGAGTCTGAGTCTCTGGCTTCCTCCAGCTGTACACACGTAGATGGTGTCCATGACGTGTTTGATGGGGTGAGAGAGGGGCTGTCAAATCGGGGAACTGGGGCCTTTGCTTCTGTCTCCCCCTTGCCCTCCTTGGCTCACCTGTGGCACCCGTCTCTCGTTCCTGGGGAGGCAGGCAGAGACTCCAGAGCCTGTCTCTCCCAGGTGGTGAGGGCGGGACCCCAGAGCCCTAGCGAGAGCCCGAGGGCACGGGCCCACGCTCCCCTGCCCTGCCTTGCCCCCGCCCCTGCTTGCTGCCTGTGCCAGTTGCCTGTTTCGCTTCAGTGTTTGATTCTAGCGCTTAACGTGTCCTCCGCACCAAGCCCTCCGGTCTCCTAGCCGCTTGACCCCTGTCCCCTCCTCAGTGACTTCTGGGAGAGAGAGGCCTTGGTTTGGGCAGAGTGGGCAGGGCTTTGGGAAAAGGGGTGAGGTGTTGTGCTGCTGGGGCCTCCCCTTCGGCCCTCCCTTCAGGCCCTGCACTATGATGTATGAAATGTATGTACAGACCAGAGATGTTTATACAGCCAATAAAGATGGAGTTTCCATATTTATCAGTACGACCGGGACAGGGGAATCCTTTCCAGTACAGGGGACCAGGGACAGGGCTGGAGGAGGGGGCGGCCGAGGGCACTTGCTCACCAGGCACGTGTGGACCAGTATGGGGCCAGGGAGGGGGATCGTGTGTGTCCCATTGGCCTGGCTTGGGCCTGGGATGCCCGAAGAAGCACAGATGTGCCCCTGGGAGACCCGAGGCTTTGACCTTCCTGGAAACAAGGCATGACTCCAACTCCAACTAAACGTTATAGAAACTCTTTATTATTAGACAAAAATAGACTCTTTTTTAGCCCCCTTTTCATGTGATCCCACTCTGATCTCTCTGCTCAGAGGGGAGGCAGAGGAGGGAGCGCCTTGCTCCCCACACTCTCCCCTCTCCCTGCCATGCTGGGACCTGCAGCTGGGTGGAGCTAGCAGGGCCTGTCCCCACCAGCGCTGATGTTCTCGCGCAGGGAGGGCCATCCCCATCTCCTCCAGGCTCCACTGCTGATGCCTCCTCACCCTTCACACACCCATCTCTGCCATCTGCTCACATGCAAGGTCATCTCATGGGCCCGTCCACTTCGCTTAGCAGGCTGGGGGCGGGGAAGGAGAGCAGTGTCCCAGGCCAGTGTCCGCTCCCCGTTCCTAGGGGAGGGGCTGGATCCCGGGTCTCCTGGGTCCAGGCCAGGGGAAGTGAAGGCTGTGGGGTGCTGAGAGGGGCGCAGTGTCGACGTGGGCTTGGAGCTTGTGGCCTTCCTTCATTTTCTCTGGCCCAGCAGAACTTTGGTGATGAAGGTGACAATGGCGCCTGCAGGCTGATCTGGGTCAAGCTCTGCAAAGAGGTGACACACATTCTCCCAGGGGCTTCCCGGCTTCTTGGCCACGAAACCAAAGATCCTGGGGGTACAAAGGCAGGATGGGGAGGGCTCAGCATCCCTTCCACAGGGACTGCCACGCCAGGGTTGGGGAGGAAGGAGGTGCCTCGATGCCACGCCAGTGCCACGCCAGTGCCACGCCATGCCAAGGAGGGGCAACTGCACTCCCAGGGAGGCTTACTTGGAGGTGGTCCCATCCGGGTTGGTCCATCTGCAGAAGGAGAAGAACTGTGAAGGGATGCACCCGGGGAATAGCTACCAACGGAAGAGCTGGGCTGGGGACTGTGGGGCGAAGGGGCTGGGAGGGAGAGGGTCACCTCTGGTCTTGAGGGTCAGTGCTGGCGAAGGTGATGCTGTTCACTGGATAATGGCGGCGAAAGAAGAGCCTGTGAGGAGGAGGGTGGGGAAAGTCACCCGGAAATCGGGGCCCCAGGGCCTGCGCCCCACCCGGGGGGGGGCTTGGCACGCACACTCACTTCCTCTGGTTGTCCGTCAGCGTGATGCCCTGGGCTGAGACCTTGAAGTGGACAATGGCTGGCGTGGGGCGGGGGCTGCAGCTCAGAGCTGCGGAGCTGGCCCGCGCCACCGCTTGGGGGCCTGTCAGCGACTCCGTCTCCACTGAGGTCAGGTAGAGCACACTGCAGG